AATATTACTGCTGAGTTTGTTTTGCTCCAACCCATAAGGACCAGGTCACAGGCTATTATTACCTGTGTTCGTAATATGGGAGCCTGTCTGGGAGATGAACCCAGGACCTCCTGCAAATTGTAAGTAGACTATCTGATGTAAATTATGTGGTAGCTCCCCTTGATAAGTCCTCAAAGAGTAAAACATACCACATAAATCAGATTAAAGCATTTTATAGTCCAAATAAAGTCCCAGTAATGATTCTGTCCTCAGCCTCTGTAGACGACCCTGACTCCTTGCACCCTATTCCCGAAATTCAAGTAAAGCTTCCCAATTTTCTCCTCAAGGACGCTAGACCCTAGCAGTTTAATTGTGGAGTTGTCTAAGAATTAAGTAACAAGTTTAACTGTGCTCCTACAATCTTACCCTGACATATTTTCGGATGACCAGAAGAAATGTACACTAGGATATCATGATGTAGATGCTGGAAACTTTAAGCATATTAAACTCTTCCCCTACAGAGCTAATCCTGAAAAACAGAGGCTACTTCAGCAGGAGGTAGCATTTCTGCTAGAACAGGGATTAGTGGAGGAGTCATCTAGTCTGGTGGAAGTTTTCGAATGTGTACAGACTACTGTAAGGTGAATGAGTTCACTATTCCAGATTCTTACCCTCTGCCATGTTTGGATGATGTAGTTGACTTTGTGGGTAAGGCTACATTTGTGTCTAAATTAGACCTCCTTAAAGGCAAAGGAAATCTCTGCCTTCATAATTCCAGGTCATTATCAATACATAGTAACCCCTTTCAGGATGTGGAATTTGCCAGCATCGTTCCAAAAGCTGATCCATCAGGCTATTAAAGGACTTGAAGGTATGGCAGCTTACCTAGATGATATTGTAGTGGTGTCCAATACTTGGGACCAACATATGTCCAGACTTAAAGCTCTCTTTGAGAAATTTCAGTTTCCAATTAACTGTTAATTTTGTAAGCCATCCTTTGGCCAGTCTACTGTTACTTTTTTGGGTCATGAAGTAAGTAGTGGTAAAGTGTCCCCTAAATTTGCTAAACTCTTTGCCATTAAAAATTACCATGATAGGAAAATCCCTCCAACATTTCTTAGGGATAGTAGGGTTTTATAGACAATTCTGTAAGAATTCTGCAGATATTATATAGTGGCGAGTATCCCCACCTGTCACACGGGAGACCGGGCCTTATTGTTTCCTTATAAGAGAGGGAGTACTTTCCCTCTCTGAACAAACTTTATTGCATTCATCAGTTCTTTTAGAGGAATTTGGAGGAGCAGTATTTTCTGTCCCTTTACATAGAATATACGAGCAGAGTAAATATTACACTGGATATTTGACTGTAGGTGTTTCTGAAGGATTTCCTATGAAAGATGCTGTGTTATTACTAGGTAATAATATTCTTAATTCCACAAAGTGTCCAGAACCTATAATGTCTAATCCTTCTCTGATGTTGGCCATAACTCTGTCAAAATCCCAAGGGATGTCTGTTGAGAATGCTGACCCATCCTTGGATGAACATCAAAATGGTATACAATACCGACAGGTTGTATACCGATAGTATACAACCGATAGTATACAATACCGATAGTTCCTGACTATGGAACTGAACTTCTCCAGGCCGAGGGAGTGACAACCTCAAATTCTACGACTACAAGGGTGATGGACTGATTACATCGTCTTCACATCTCTACTGTTCCTCCCTACTTTCTGTATTCGACTGAAGAAGCCTACTGTGTAGGCGAAACGTTTCGGAATAAAGTTGTCTAACTGTTGCATATGTGTCTTACCTAACATCCATGGATGACTGATCTAGGACTAGACAATTTGTTTTACGAGGAAAACTGGCCAGAGCCTCGTAAATTTAGTGAACAGACCCAGACCAAGCCTTCCTATTCCAGAGTTGCAGGATTGCCGGATATCTCTGTTTCCATGCCTGAGGGACTGTCCTTCCGGGAGGAACAGTGAAAAGATCCTTCTTTAAACTTAGCTTTTCAAATTGCCATGGATGAATCTCACTCAGATCACCCAGTCAAATATAAAATTAAAAACGACTTCTTAATCTGCACAGAGACTTGTAAGGAGGTAGAGGGAAGGCAAAAGACACAGATTGGTAATTCCTAAAAAGTTTAGATCACAAATATTAAATGTAGCTCACAATTCTTCGTTAGGACACTTAGGAATTACCATTATTATAATCATGGGGAGCGCTAAACCCGTAAGATTATACAGCGCATGTGGGGGGATGGAAGGTATTCAGGCTCAATTCAGGGAACCGGAGCACAGACCTAATTCCCTAGATCAAGAGCCCCTCATCAGCATCAAGGAACCTCCCTTGAGGGGTAGGAATTACCAAAACCTTGTATAAAATACTAAAAACAATTTGACTGGAAAAAAAAAAAGGCAAGATGTGAAAAATCACATCCGCTGTTCCAGGGAATGTCAGCAAGAAGGAAAACCTGGATACTTCACTAAACCTGCACCACTCCATCCCATGCTGGCAGATGGAGAACCACTGCAGAGTTAATCATTGATTGTGGAGGTCCATTACCTAAGTCGAATAAAGTGTAACGTACTCTTTGCATGCCACAATTCCTCGCCAGCATCAAGTGCTCTTCTCCAGCACCAAGTGCTCCTCGCCATTTCAAGAGCCCCTCGCCAGCATGAAGTGCTCCTCGCCAGCATGAAGTGCTCCTCGCCATCAAGTGCTCCTCGCCAGCATGAAGTGCTCCTCGCCATCATCAAGAGCCCCTCGCCAGCATGAAGTGCTCCTCGCCATCAAGTGCTCCTCGCCAGCATCAAGTGCTCCTCGCCATCATCAAGTGCTCCTCCCCATCATCAAGACCCCCTCGCCAGCATCAAATGCTCCTTGCCAGTATCAAGTGCTCCTCGCCATCATCAAGAGCCCCTCGCCAGCATGAAGTGCTCCTCGCCAGCATCAAGTGCTCCTCGCCAGCATCAAGTGCTCCTCGCCATCATCAAGACCCCCTCGCCAGCATGAAGTGCTCCTCGCCAGCATCAAATGCTCCTTGCCAGTATCAAGTGCTCCTCGCCATCATCAAGAGCCCCTCGCCAGCATGAAGTGCTCCTCGCCAGCATCAAGTGCTCCTCGCCATCATCAAGAGCCCCTCGCCAGCATGAAGTGCTCCTCGCCAGCATGAAGTGGTCCTCGCTATCAAGTGCTCCTCGCCATCATCAAGAGCCCCTCGCCAGCATGAAGTGCTCCTCGCCATCAAGTGCTCCTCGCCAGCATCAAGTGCTCGCTCCTCGCCAGCATTAAGTGCTCCTCGTCATCATCAAGTGCTCCTCGCCATCATCAAGACCCCCTCGCCAGCATCAAGTGCTCCTCGCCAGCATCAAGTGCTCCTTGCCAGTATCAAGTGCTCCTCGCCATCAAGTGCTCCTCGCCATCATCAAGTGCTCCTCGCCAGCATCAAGTGCTCCTTGCCAGTATCAAGTGCTCCTCGCCATCATCAAGTGCTCCTCGCCATCATCAAGTGCTCCTCACCAGCATCAAGTGCTCCTTGCCAGCATCAAGTGCTCCTCGCCAGCATGAAGTGTTCCTCGCCAGCATCAAGTGCTCCTCGCCAGCATCAAGTGCTCCTTGCCAGAATCAAGTGCTCCTCGCCATCATCAAGTGCTCCTCGCCAGCATCAAGTGCTCCTCGCCAGCATCAAGTGCTCCTTGCCAGTATCAAGTGCTCCTCGCCATCATCAAGTGCTCCTCGCCATCAACAAGTGCTCCTCGCCATCATCAAGTGCTCCTCACCAGCATCAAGTGCTCCTCGCCATCATCAAGTGCTCCTCGCCAGCATGAAGTGCTCCTCGCCAGCATCAAGTGCTCCTCGCCAGCATCAAGTGCTCCTCGCCAGCATCAAGTGCTCCTCGCCAGCATCAAGTGCTCCTCGCCAGCATCAAGTGCTCCTCGCCAGCATCAAGTGCTCCTTGCCAGCATCAAGTGCTCCTCGCCAGCATGAAGTGCTCCTCGCCAGCATCAAGTGCTCCTCGCCAGCATGAAGTGCTCCTTGCCAGCATCAAGTGCTCCTCGCCAGCATCAAGTGTTCCTTGCCAGTATCAAGTGCTCCTCGCCATCAAGTGCTCCTCGCCAGCATCAAGTGCTCCTTGTCAGCATCAAGTGCTCCTCGCCATCAAGTGCTCCTCGCCATCATCAAGTGCTCCTCCCCATCATCAAGTGCTCCTCGCCAACAAGTGCTCCTTGCCAGCATCAAGTGCTCCTCGCCATCAAGTGCTCCTCGCCATCATCAAGTGCTCCTCGCCATCATCAAGTGCTCCTCGCCATCAAGTGCTCCTCGCCATCAAGTGCTCCTTGCCAGCATCAAGTGCTCCTCGCCATCATCAAGTGCTCCTCGCCATCAAGTGTTCCTCGCCATCATCAAGTGCTCCTCGCCAGCATCGTGTGCTCACTTTAAAATATTCGTGGTTTTTTCCCACTTCATTCAGATATTACAATCAAAATTAAGGGCTAAACCCTCAAGGGTCATACTGCGCTGTATTCGCATGGTAGCGTTATTATAATCAAGGGGAAGCGCTAAACCCGTAGGGTTATACAGCGCCTGTAAGGGGGGGGGGGGTGGAAGGTATTCAGGCTTAATTCAGGGAACCGGAGCACGGATCCAATTCCCTAGATCAAGAGCCCCTCACCAGCGTCAAGGAACTTTCCTTGAAGAGATGGTAACGTTAAACCTGTAGGGGTCGTACAGTGCCGGCGAAATTGGAGGCATTCAGGTTCGACCCAGGGGAGCACATGACAATTCCCTAGGTCAAGAGCCCCTCAAAATCATCAAGGAACCTCCCTTGAAGGGCAACTCGCCAGAAAATTGCACTTCACCCTTTTCATAATATTAAAACCTATTTTCAAATAAGTATTCTGATCCTCCTCTTAAAGTCATTTTACGTATATTTTTTTCACTACAGGTGTCCACGGCGCATCAGCAACCAATACGGCGCTGCACAATACATGGAAGGAATAGAGGAAAATTCTTACTAGGTTTCATATCATATATTTGGAAAATTCACAAAATACAAGTTAACAAATCAATACACCTCTTACGTCTGGCAGGAACTAAACTTCCCTTTTTTAAACTTTTCGTTATAGCATCACCACTACCTCTATGTCACAGTTTTAATAGCAGTCATCACTACATAGCATAGTCACTACCTATGTCTTAATTGAAGCAAGTGACACGGCTAACCCCCCCAACCCCCAAACGCACTCTGGAAGGCACCCTCCGGGAGCAACGCCCTCCACCACCACCCACAGCATATTCCATACCTTTACCTCTTCTTCCACAAAAAATATATATAAAAAACTGTGGGCATGTGGGGCGTTACTGCACACTGGGCACACCAGAGCGACTTTTTGTACATTGGACCCAGTTTTCAAACTTGTATTACAAAACTTTGAATGCTCGTGCTACTCCCTTATACTTTACGAGGTTTTTGGAAACTGGTTGGTGAGAAGGCAACAAAACGAAATGTACTCTGCAAACACAATCACTTTGTGAAGAAAAAATACAACTAAAGACCTGGTTTGTCGTAGTAAAAGTCATATAACCACAAAACTCTCCCTTCACAAATATACAGAGAAATTAGAGAGCGTTCGGTGGGTATACGAGCAAGTACTTTTAACAGCAGATTAGAGTTGAATGATGACCCTAGCAACTCCAGGCTGTGGTCATGGCCAAGTCTCAACACACACACACTGTGGCCGGCAGAAACACTCTTGACCCAAGTGATCTACTGGCCAACTGGCGCAGGAAGTGGCAGTGTAGAATTAGACGACCTTCGGCCTCTTTAAAACTGCTTTTTGTGACGTCAAAGAATTGAAAACATGAGAATACGTATTACAGGCAGCAATTAAAGTTTTGCTTTACACAATTCCAAATTTATGTTACATATGCATATGTTTATGCATCAATATGTATTATAGTGCAAATATTATTGTTTGTACAGTGACATGGTCAGGTGAGGCTGGCAGCATCAAGCCTCGTGTGGAGGCGCAATGTCACCGGTACTAGTGACGTCACAACAGGCCGTCTCAAATACGTATTCCCGTTTTTTCAAGATTTACAAAATATAAATATGCCTATCGGAATAAATAAGTGATACAACCTTGACGCAAATAATTGTGATATACATGTTTTGGAAATCGTTGGTAAGTGTATTATCGACTATTATGGTACAATAGCTGGAACAAAAATATTTATACAAACTAAATTTTGGTATTTCGACATCTTGACTTTCACGGAGAATATTACTATTTTTTTTTACAAACTGAATACAAATAGCTCTTAATAATAACAAAATTCTCAGTCATATACATTTGTACAATATACAAAAATGTAAAAAGTAATTCTACTTTATGCGATGATCAGATGGCACTGTGGGATGACGCCCTCATCAACATCTCGCCAACAACTCATGAAAAGGAGGGGGGGAAGGGGGATGTAGAGAAAAATAGGAGCAATGAGTAGGATGTGGAAAATGGGATAAAAAAGATGGGAGTGGGGGAAGGGAGAGCAGGAGGGAAAGGAGAGAAAAGGGAATGAGGGGAAACTGGGTTAGAGGAAAAGGTCAAGGGGAGTGAGGGGAAATGTAAAAGGTGTGGGTGGGCCTGCAGAGACTCTAGCATACAACTTTTTCTTAACACAAGTCAACATCTTAAGGCAATGTAGTTGAGGTTGACCAGCACTAATAATATGTGGCAGTGATAACAAGATTAATTACTTTAATTACTATTTTTTAAGAGTAACAAGTCTGCAAGGCCCTACCAAAAACAAAAAGGAATCGGACAAGGACTAGACAACAAAATGCCAGAAGTTTCACACAACTAATACCTAATGGCAGCCACAGGCCTGGGAAACCACCTGCTTCTTGGCAAACTCGTGTACCTGGAAAACGACAATCTCTCACTTCCTTCAATAGCTGCCACCTAAATCTTGAACTGGGGTCTGAGGTATAAATTTTCTACCTTCTCGCTGGGCGTGTCCTACGCAGGAACATATCATCAAACAATATTAAACAGATACAGCCATTTGGGAAGGCAGGACGAAGAGTATTGCGTCAGTAAACCTTGACAAGTGTCTTGCGAATGTGCAGCCACCTTCATGACGTAGGTAGCTTCCCCTCCCCTGTGGCTGCTTACCTTGTGTAGCTTCGGGCATTTCCTAACTCTTCATTGACACACTGGAAGGCTCCATTGCACAATGGCCTCCATTAACTGCCTAGTTTTACCAAGTTGGAAATGCCCTTCACTCACAAAATATACATAGTATGAATCTGCCCACAAAGTTAAAAGGAATTCTAGACCTTAGAATTGTGGCGAGGATGAAAATGTAACTGTCATGGTGGCGAAGATGAATATGTATGATGATGATGAACGCATTATTATTATATATAATGGTCCACGGCATTCCCCTTCTCATATGGTAATAAGCACAACATATCAGTGAGGATGAGGCCGTGGTGCCGCCCCACCTAGCACCAAGGGTCTGCCCCCCCCCCCACACCACAACCACCATACGTGGGCAACCATGCCCACCACCACCAGGCGTGGGCAACTATGCCCACCACCACCGCCAGGCGTGGGAAACTATGCCCACCACCACCGCCAGGCGTGGGCAACAGTGTCCAACACCACCAGGTATGGGCACCTGTGCCCTGCCTGCTCCAATACACCACTCAGGCACTGTGCGAGTCAGGGGTCCGCGTAATAATGGTAAGATCACAGCTGATAACACTTGATGAATCACAAGAGAGTCCGGGGGCCGCCCAGCACAGTGATTGCACCTCTTTGGCATGGCACTGCAGTCAACATTAGTCACTACTGTCGCTGCTGCTCTTGCTGCTGGAGTCTGCCAACAGCTTCACACGCGCGTTACGACTCCAAAGAGGCGATGAGGCTGTGAAAAACTACAGACTGGAGGTCATTCCCCAAGAGTGAGGTATGGCCACAAGCGTACTGCTGCTGCTGTGGTCTTGACCAGTCATAATAGCTGCTTCCGGAGTTACCACTGCTGCTGTAGCTCGTGGGGGTGCTACTCAAGTTGGTGGTGCTGGAGGTGGTCGTACTCATGCTGGTGGTGGTGGTTGTGGTGGTATTGCTGCTAATTGATGGCGGCGAGGTGGGAATGGGCACGGTGCAGGAAAGAGGGGATACATAAGGCGTGTCTGGGCGGGGCGGAGTGGGCGTACCAGGACGGGGCTGCGTAAGAGAATCGGCGGTGAACGTATCGTACAAGTCGCGTAAGATCTCTTGCGTATCGTCCACCACTACGCGGGCGTCGTCCTTGTGATCCATTTCGCACTGCAGCCGTGTTTCACAAGTCTCCCTCGAGTTTTCCTTATCATCATCAAGGAAGAGCTTGGGCTTCTTGGCCGGGGGCGCTGGGTCGTCGTCTTCCAGGGCGGAGAGTGGAGTGGGGGCGGGCTGGGCGTACACGCTCAGCACGTCACAAACCTGCATGTCACAGGGAGGAGAGGGGGAGCGGGGGCGAGAGGCAGACAGGTAGGAAGGCGACACATTGGTACTACCAGCACGGTGTCGAGCCAACTTCTCCTCCCGAGCCTCTCGCTGCAGTCGTCTCAGCGTGTTCCTTAAAACAAGAAAGAACATAATTAGATGCATATTACACCTGTACCTACAATGTTGAAAGCCTATCGACTATATCAGTCATTAAGACTGCGATACGTTTATACATTGACTTGTACACAAATAATTGATAAATTACATGTAAACATGTGTATATAATCTTACATCCGTATAACTGGTTTGACACAGCATTTGACATTCAGTTCTAAAATATCAAGTGTTTCTTAACCTAGTAGTCACTGTGAACACAGTATACTTACTTGATGAGCACAAATCTTCGAAGGCCGCTCTCATGATCATCAATGGTGCGGTACTTCTCGTTGGAGAGTCTTATCACCCGCTTGCGTTCCTCGCGCACACGGAACTTGTAAGTAGCCAGGGCACCGCGTCGGGCACTGGGGCACGACCATACACCACTGGCGTCGATGGCCATACTCTCAACACCACCTGTTGAAAGAGAGAAAAAAAAGTTAATTTTCACTACTCGGTAATATGCAAGAGTAATTGCGTCCAATGCTTATTTGCATAACATTTTTGGCATTTCACAATCAGAGATCCAGACATCTGAGAGGTGTGTACTAAAACGATTTCAGAAAAAATTACTATTCTGGCATCTGTCTAATATACATAAGACCGTAACCAAGTTTTTTAAAAGCATGAATCACCAAGTGAGTCAACGAACGATCGAGTAACTATTAAAATTGTTCCAAGGGACTATCAAAACTTTTCACAAAATATTGTACCTCTTTGTCTTAACGCCACCATTGGATCGAGAGGTGTTGTAACGCCCGGTGACCGTTCCGTGGTCAACCTACAATGACAGTATTCTCGGAAGAACACGGTAGCAGTAGGCTTGGAGCTCACTACCTCCCGTCCGTCCACCCGCACACTTGTTGCTTGGGTATCTGAGTCAGTCGCTCTCATGCAACCCCACCACCAACGTGTGACGCCTCTGCCTTTACGGCGAAACGCATCCTGACGCCCTCGCAGTTCCCGTGGATTCAGTGAGTTTCGTTCACTCGGCCCAAGCACTTTCACGGGTGACGCGAACGAAGAGATTTGGTAGAAAACGAAAGTTCTGGAAACAGCGGCAACTAAAGTAGGCGTGATTTTCCCTCTCGAACCAATGGCGAGGCCAGTTAGCTGTGACGTCATGTACTCACGTCAACAACTGTATGACGTTGCATGTGGGCGCTAGTGTAATGTTAATTCGTTGCACATCTGATAGCAATGTACTTAACAAAACGTTTTTGCTATAACGATATTCGCTTAATCCCAGATAAGACATATATACTCTTAACGCCCCAAAGTAATTATATGGACAAAACTTCAACTGCTGTAATGGAATACCCCGTCGTGTGGAGCGGACATCCTGACTCTGGGCAGGGACGATGACGTCACTAAATCCCAGAATCCTTGTAAGCAAGGGAAGATTCCCGCTAACTACAGTTCTCTACTATCAGATTAAACGTTTATTGACAATCTCATTTAACTATCTGTGAAGGATAAACGCTAGAAAAAAGCGATGGAAACGGTAAGATAATGGCAATCTTCTTTACCTTTGTTCCCCTTGGATGACATCCTCGCACTTCCTGTGTCCTAAGACTGATTAAGTTTTGAGGAAGAAACTCGTCCAATCACAGCATGTCCAAACATACTTCCCCGAGCCGCATACGTAGGCTTTCCTTGTCAGAATAAATCAATACCCACACAATGGAAATTGGAACTGGATGAGCTTTCTGTGCGTTCTGAGCCATTAGTGACAATATTACGAAGCCAATTGCAAAGCCAGTGCAATGGGAGCCTGACTGCAGGTCTTCACGTATGCGTTTTAGATTGACACCTAGCCAAGTGCTCACTGTTTAAAGAGTAAAGTATATGCTGCATTAAAATCGGAGTAACGAGTCGTGTGATGATGTGTATTAGGAGCAATTCAATAAAACTTTTAAAGCTTAGGAATTCTGGAAAAGGACCAATTTATGAACTACTTGCAGGTCCTAATATGGCATATAAGCTCTCGACGGACATGAGGGGTTCACTGTACAGGCCTACACATCAGGCATGTCCTACAGATACCCAAACTTTTATTTAATCTGCTCTAACAGATATTTCTGTAACTGACTGCCTTTCCCAGTGCAATACTTCAGAATATTTTATCTGATAACCCTACCTCGACCTGGCAGTCTCGTATTTGCCACTACTGGACCGTAAACTCGTTAGTTTAATATCCTGTGTGGACTTCAACAGTTTTTCAAACACATTATATTACATCACAATAGCACTGCAATCTATTGCACTATTAATTTTATAAGAATTATAATACATAACATAAATAAACACGCGTACGTAAATATACATACACGCATGTATATCTCAAAATAATGGTCACGTGCGTATTAAACAGAAAATAAGGCTAACGAATAAGGTACCAATACTTTTCGGAATATTAAGGTACATCCCAGGCACCACGCCAGATTTTCCGGACAAGATTTCCCACATTCCTCACCCGCTTTATGTCCAATAGGAAAACAGCGGTAATAATTCCTTGTAAAAATGCTTAATTACTATACAATTCTCATCTTAATTTCAACAAAGCTCTCTTTAAAATTTATTACATTTCAGAATGTATGTCATAGAAAAAAAAAAACATGGTAAACAACACCGGTAAACTACCATCTTCATTACGGGCTGTAACAGATGGACTCTCCATGCCATCCCTGGGTGGTTGAGTTACCAGTTGGTCGCTGCTAAACTGCTCCTCCCCTCCACTGGGACTGCGGGAAAACACGTCGTACCGCCTGGGAGTTTCCCCGGTGCCGAGACGAGGCACAATGTATGGACGCAATATCTCTGCATATCGTACCGCATACTTGTTGCAGGACCTATATTTCTAAATAGTTTTACGTTCTCGCGAGTAAGGCTTAATGAATAAATTAAATATTAAATACATTAAATACCACTACAAAAACTTTTGAAATGTACCCTGGACTTGTGCCTTCCCACTAGTTAAGCGGATTTTACGAATCTGTATTTTACCCAAAGATATTCATTTTAACCTTTTGAGACATTGTCACATAATTCCGTCAGAGGTACACTGATATGGCTACCAGCCGATGGTTCATAGCTTTATCTCTTTATAATACATGATGCGATTTATGCAAAGTATGGAATAAGGACTAGTGTAACCTAAAAAAAGTAAATCCAAGTTTCACCTCCAGGATACATCACGCTTTCACCTGTGTTACTTTACACAATAACAATAAAAAAAAGGTACCGGAGAAAAAGTAAAGATGCTCAAACAAATATGAGGTGTAAACGTGAGCGGAGACTAAGCGATCATATGTTTCCCAGCACCACCGGCGAGACGCTCTCCCAACATGTCGTACCGCACCAACAAGCCCCTCTCAAACACTCTTGTCAATTTCCATCGTAATTCGCGTGGGAAAATAACCGTGATGAGAGTTAAGTGCAAAATATAGTTCCATTGCAACACTAAAATGCTTATATCATTAGGTCCCCCTTTTCAAACTATATTAATGAAAATTGTGTTAAATTATACAATACGAATTCAACACCATTTAAGCATTACAACGCAAGGTATTTTAAAAAATCAAATAGATGACTTTCTATATTTCTGTTCGGATTAAGTTGTATTTATTGGTTGCTTCAGGGAAAAATGGAGATTCCTAAAAGAATCTTACAGGCTTTCCTTGTCTACCCGAAGAGCCTGTACCCGTCACAACCCATCTATAGAGCCCTCCCTCCCTCCCTCTCTCCCACGCCACCCAGAGCACTGCTTCCGGCCCCCCACACAACAGCCATATTACATACTACCTGGGATTTTGTCGCGAGATACACACAAACTGCTACCTTCTAATTTCTGTGACCTCAGACTGCTTGCAAACTTAGACGCTCAAAGCACAACTACCTTGACGCCACACGTTGGGTGAGGGCCAAAAGGATGTGGGTCAGGGTGTAGACTGAGGGAGAGGCTCAAAGCAGTTTGCAATGCATGCACTTAAACTAGAGCAACATCCAACGTTCACAACTATTCACGAAACGTGTAGAGATCTTAATCTCCCCCCCCCCCAAAAAAAAAAAAAACTATCAAGCATTGTCTTTCTCGTGATTTTATCTCCGAATATTGACGATATCGAGACTGGTACAGAGCACGATGTATCCAAGTAGTAGTTAAGGGCAACACGTGTGCACGCGTACGAGCTTGCGCGCGTCTGCGTGTAAGTGGGACAGGGTCAGCTGGGCCAGGTTCACACAGGCCCAGGGACGCCCCTGCCTCGGGGACTGGGGGAACCCACAGGGCTAGGGGAAGACGGAAGGTGTGTAACAGTTAAGCGGAAAGTGACGGCATATTATTTGGTGGAACAGTAACACTGTATAGTTACTGGAAGAGCAGGCGATTGCGAAAAAAAATGGTATTAAAAAAAACTATGATCGCAGGATACATAACTAAATCCTCTAAAGCATTTAAGTGTGATCAGCAGAAAGTCACGAGCGAGCAGGCCGGACAACGACAATCAGTGCAGCACTTTTTGAAATCCATGCCAAGGCTGTTGCGTCAAGACCTCACAATGTTGGTCACATATTGATAATCAATATCAAAGACACTACAAGTTTCATCCTTCAATACTCCTCAGATCAATTACAGCATGCAAATTTTAAACACTAATCGTGAACGGGAGCACAATGAGCAACAGTGTTCATAAAAACAACTAAACCAAACTGGATGTAAAGCGAGTTTCACCTAATCCACAGCAGCAGTCGTGGAGACAAGCCGCTGGTGTCTACTAAGTTCCTTGTACACTTTCTCCTAACAACTGGACTTACCTCAAACATCAAACGATAGTGGCATGGATCGCTGTACCTCTTCTCGTGCTACTTGTAATCATTACTAGACTTAACGAAAAACGAAATGGCGCAGTAGCAATAGATTACCGAGGACTCCCTGAGAGGAGCACGATAGCTAAGGTGAAGCGACCTTCACTATAATCACCTGTCTTAGCTGTCTTCCACTGCTACCTAGGCTGCAGCCTTGATTGTCAACCATAATGCTTCCGTGTGGGATCATAGAAGTTATTAAATAATTCCAATGCACAGCATGGATATATAAGCTTCCGAGTATATAATTACAAATTAAGAGAAAATTAAGTAGTCAATCATACTTTAAAAGAATACTGAAAATGAACTGTTGGTTCATACTAAGCAGATCCTACTTACACCCACCCATCCTCAATCATTTTATTTTTTTTTAAACTACCAAAAGTGAAGGTTTTAACGACACAGCCAGGAGTTTGTCCCACTCATCCACAACTGACATACAGTGCATGCACAAAACTACGAGGATGGCTATCAATATGACGACTCTGAAAATCCTAAAGAGTATGTGGAGGACAGCTGTGATATGGCTGATAAACCCGTGCAGCCAAAATATTGGTTGTAGAAAAAGAGCACAATGATGACTGTGGCATTTAAAACATATAATACCTGCGGGAATGCACAAAAAAAGGCAGTTCTTCACACTAAGCTTCACTTTTTCTAAGATACACAGGTGGTGGAGACTGACTGAGCCATACACGGAAATTGCCGTGTCGAGACCAACCTCCCCCTCATTATCGCTATGTACTTGTGCAACACCAGACTCCACTAGCTATGTACTCGTGCAACACCAGACTCCACTAGCTATGTACTCGTGCAACACCAGACTCCACTAGCTATGTACTCGTGCAACACCAGGCTCCACTCGCTGAGTGTTCGTGCAACACCAAGCTCCACTCGCTATGTACCCGTGCAACACCAAGCTCCACTAGCTATGTACTGTGCAACACCAAGCTCCACTAGCTATGTACTGTGCAACACCAAGCTCCACTAGCTTATGTAACCTCCGTGACTAACACCAAGCTCCACTAGCTATGTACTGTGCAACACCAAGCTCCACTAGCTATATACTGTGCAACACCAAGCTCCACTAGCTATATACTGTGCAACACCAAGCTCCACTAGCTATGTACTCGTGCAACACCAAGCTCCACTAGCTATGTACTCGTGCAACACCAAGCTCCACTCGTTATGTACTCGTGCAACACCAAGCTCCACTCGCTACGTACTCGTGCAACACCAAGCTCCACTCGCTGTGTACTCATGCAACACCAAGC